GTCAGTCTGAGGGCAGTACCCGCCGCTGAAAACTCCCTCATGTGAAGCGTCCCAGTAGCCAACGAGGATGGCTGACCCATGAGCCCTAGTAAACCGCAGACCACCGATCGTGAGATGTTGAGTAGCCGGAATGAGCGAGGCAACCTCCGAAGGCTTTCCCACTCCTTTGTTCTGCTGACAGGCGGGCTGTAAAGGGCACGAATTCAGGTGTAATGGCCCCAGGAAGAAGTACAGTCTGGGCTGGGGACAACATGCTTTTTTTCTGTGTTTAAAACCACCGAGAACCCCAGATCGAGCAGGTGTTTTTTAAGCGAGGAACAATCGTCTGCCGTAATAAGCCTCCTTGCGTCCGACTGTGCAGACCGGCAGCCCAGTCGTCCAGATTAAGTCTGCCAAGCGAATACGCTGTTTGTCTTAACGGGGGCTACGCGGACACCGTAACAACAACTCGCGGCTGCCTGAAGAAAGATAGACTGAAGGGAAAGGAGACAGCCGAAGGGAAGGACTCTGTACTCGTAAATAGACACCCTGAAAGACAACCAGATATTTCCTGTGTAGGTAATATACTGGATGTGGAAATACGCATATTTCTAAGGTCGACTGATGTGAACCAGTCGTTCTGCGCGCACCGAAAGAACGCAACCAGAGATGTGTGAAGTGAGCATTCTGAATTTGTATCTTTTGGAGTATTTGCTTCGAGCTTCTTCAATCTAGTATAGGCGAATGCCGTTCCCTCCCCGTTTTGGGAACGAGGAAATACTTGGAAAACAAAGCCGCCTCCTGAACTCTGTTCGGCGGGTATGTTATCGATTAGCTTGTTTTCTAGTAGCCGAGAAATCTCTTGCTCTAGAACAGGGGTGGTCTGCAAACCTTTTTGACCAAAAGAGCCATTTTGAATCCCTTTTTCCAAAAAAAAAAAACCAAAAAAATTGTCTGGAGCCGCAAAACATATTTCATTAGCTTGATAGCTTAATAAAGTTGTATTTATTGGTTTAATATCAGCAAAAAAACTAAATTTTGCAATTTTATTAGGCCATTTATTGAATTTAAGTAAAACTGTTAACCTCCTAATAAGGAAACAAAGAAACTCCTAATACAGGAGAATTAAAAATAATACACAGGCCTACTTTAAAATAAATTAAACACAAGCCAGTTGGGGAGTCCTCCTGCACATTTGAAAGGGAAACAAATATACTAATTAAATTGCCCACTTTGAAAATAAGATATCAACATATAGCTGGCATCCCTAAAAAAGAGTTAACGTGGGGGAGGTAAGAATGGCAGAAACCAGCTCGAGTGCGCAGAATTTGAAAATACACAACCGGGAAAAATCTGCCTCTTCCCTTCAGAGCTCCTTAACAGAGCCCCTCCTCCAACCCACCGAGCGCAACATGACCGAATAAGGGCACGAGATACGAGTTGTGCATATGTGCACAGATGGAGCGCTGACAAGTAGGTAGGCCCCATCCCCGAGTTATTTTTAGCTGGGCGCGGCTAAGATGATTTGGTCGTGGGCTTTTT